GTGTTTCTGCTGGTGAGTAGGGTTTCAGGCCTCCGTGGAGTAGGGAATTGCAGGCCGGCAAAGTGAGAATGGCTGGAGCGACGAAACCTTTTGCCGCATCATCTATCTTCGCATCAGGAGGCCTACTCTATTTCAACGAAAAACGAAATTTCGATCGAAATTTCGCACGTTCCATACTCTGTTTCCTTTTCATTTCGAAAATTCGTTCGTCCGAAATATTTTGACAATTAAATTCTTCAAGCCTACTCTAATTCACAAAACTTTCGAAGGAAAAGTTGAATTTGACATATATTTGTTCGAAGTTTTAACCTCAAATCGACGAAATGAAAAGTGTTACCTTTTCATTTTCGTTTTGAGATTTTTGTTTTAATTAAGCCTAAAATACTTGCAAGAGTATTTTTAATAATAGCTGCTTAGCTCCAGTAACATTTTTAGCATGTAAAATTAACAAATAAACCATTTTTTTATTATTTTTTGTAATTTCGAAACTTCAAAGTATTAAACGACAAATTGAGGTTGACATACAGTAGATTGTATCGACTCTACAAATTAGTCGGCTAACACTGTCAAAGAAGGTTCTTTTAATGTCATCAAAAAATTTGCCGTAAACTACCTATATTGCTTCCAAGTAAAAAAACGTTTTCTTAAAAGTAGAGATAAAAAGAACTCACAAACATGACTCATTCCATTCGTTCACGAAAACTGTTTATGGTTCCGAAGTTAATGTGCCTGTTCGAAAATGAAATAGAGTAGAGACACTGGCGAAATTTCGTTTGAAATTCGTTCGTTACCGAAATTTCGTTTCGGAGAAAGAGAGTAGAGCTCCTGGACTTAGGCGCTTTGCAGACGACGGTGGGGTCGGGCTTTTTGTCCGTCGATGTCTGCGGCTGCCCTCGCCGCGTACACAAAGCACACGACGGGCAGAGGCAGTCAGTTCAGGACGTTCGTTCTAGTGAATAGTCCATCACTGAAAAGCGTGTGGCGCGGACTGAGCTAGCCGCCCCGCGCCGCCGTCTGCGTTACTGCATATAAACTGGTTTGTATGATCCACGGCGGGCAGCCGCGGACATGCCGCGCCGCCAGTGCCCGCCGGGCACCTGCGGCGCGGTCTTTTTGCCCTCTGTATGCGTTTGTAGTATAGGTTTCACTTTGTGCTATCATTCGCGGCCAAATTGACCGGCCCGCTCCGCCCCGCCGTCTGCAAAGCGCCTAAACATTAGGTGGGATGGGGTTACGGTTACCATTCGTCCGGATTAGTCCGCACATGTCCGGAATTTTAGACAAAAGTCTAAACTTTGCTCGGTTCTTTAAATTGTCCGGAATTTTTTAAATTACATTGAATATGAATAATAGCAGTACATTTTGAAATAAATACCATATCATAGTAATAAAGTGAGTAATGATACCATTTTGTGACTAAAAAGTCCAAAAAGACTTTTTTTGAAATGTCAGGACTTTTGAAATTCCTAAATGGTAACCCTAGATGGGGTTATTTATTGGGTCACGTTTAAAAACATCTTACTAAAGATTATAGCACTACTAAAAATATTTAAACTGGTTATTGGCAAAGTTAAACAATCGCTTAATATAAAAATCAACGAGACAACGTCTTAAATTATACCTATTTAAAAAATTGTTATTTCGTAATATCAAGCACAGGTGAAATGTCGCGTCATTATTATTTTAAGATACTTTGCGCTCTAATTCCAGGAGAAATACTAGTACATTTCATTTCTAAAAACACTTTTAGCCCATTTAATAGACCTTTTACATTATTATTAATATTTTTAGGCACCTTAGTTCTGTGACCTCGGAGTTCGATCAGAGCTTGAAAACGATTCGCGTCTACGTGGAAACAAATGTAAAGCATCATTATTTTGGAAATTATAAATGCCCACTCTAGAAATATCTCTGCACAGCCCAGTGGCGGATTAACAGGGGGGCGGAAGGGGCGGCTCGCCCCGGGCCTCCGATCTTGGGGGCCCCCAAATGCCTCCGCGTTCCCCTGATCAAATCCTAAACTAGACTTTAAAAATGTGCTTAGTACCTACATAATTTCATCAAGACAGACACTACAGCCATCTAGACTTTTTACGCGGTACTAATATTCTTTTAACTTCGCTGAACGTGTCCAATACGCTGGGGGAATTCCCGTCTCTGTAGCGAGTACTTCCTCAGGTATCCCTGAATGAATGAAGTACAAATAATTCACTCTTGTACGCCTACATTTAATAACATTCACTATAATTACGTCGAAAAATAACCATTGGCCTCATTTAAAATCCGTTCAAAGTAACCTCATTAAAAAGTATAATAGTGTTTTTGATATTTGTTGCGGTATAAAAGTACGAGTAAATGACTTTAGAGTTGAGTATTTTTAAGTATTTGGAAAAAGTAAGTAATTCTTCGTATAATTTAGCCTAGAAATCATAATCCGTAGTTTCTAGCCAATATGCACCTACGTTTCTAGTCAAAATATGTACCATATTGTATGTATGTATGTTTATTTAGCCGAAATAATTTAATTGGTTGATTTCAACGGAACAAACTAAGCAACTACATTTTTTTTAAAGCTGGGGGGCCTCATTCAGCTTTGCCGCCCCGGGCCTCTGACGAGCTTAGTCCGCCACTGGCACAGCCCAGTATTCAGGTCTCATACAGACTATAAATTAATTTCCGAATGAACGTAGGTTCAACTGGACGCCTGACAACCCCTAGGAAAAATCCTTAGCTATGCAATGTTGCCTATCAGTATGACAAAAGCCACTTTTCCAAAGTGAAGCGCGTATGCTACTTGCTTTAGCTTTGAAAGTGTCGCAGAAAGAGAGTTATAGTTAGAGAAATAGCCTCATGAGTGACCATAACGTTTGTCAATCAGTTTGATAATATCCACTTTTCACTGTAGATGGCGGTTGACATAGTCATTAGATAAATAAACTATAAAAGTACCAAAGGACATCGACGAAATCAGACTCAGCATGCCCAAAAGAACGTCCTTCACTATTATTTTTCTATTACTTTTTTAACTTCATCATTATCAGCCTATTAATGTCCCCACTGCCGGAGCACAGGCCTTCCCTATGGATGGAATAGGGAGATTGGGCCATGACCCACCGCGTGAGCCCAGTGGGGATTGGTGGGTGCTAACGACTGCAGATGCAGCCGGGACCAACGGCTTAACGTGCCTTCCGAAGCACGGAGGAGCACGATATAGTAAATTTTTGGTCACCCATCCAATGACCGACCACTGCAAAAGTTGCTTAACTTTAACGACCGCAGCCGAACGCGCTAACCATTTGCGCCATCGAGCTCCTCTGCTTAACTTTAACGACCGCATCCGAACGCGCTAACCAACTTTTTTTTTTACTTTTTTAACTCATTAGCAATAAAGTTGTCCCAAGATTGTTTACCTTAAAAATGCAATATAGGCGAACATAGGTATTTATCAACATAAGAATAGAACTAGGTACCTTAGTTAATAATACTGATCACTAGTATTTATATTATATATATAAAAAGATTATTTCTGAAATTATGTAAAGATAGTTTATACCCCAACCCGTATAATATCTGTTTATTTTTATGAAAATCATAATGAACCAGGTACATACCTAATTACCGATAGTAAAATATAGACACAGGTAAATGGAAAGACTTTAAACATTTCATTTGAAAAATTATATATATATATATATATAGTTAAGCAACTTTCGCAGTGGTCGGTCATTGGATGGGTGACCAAAAAATTCTATCTCGAGTTCCTCCGTGCTTCGGAAGGCACGTTAAGCCGTTGGTCCCGGTTGCACCTGCAGTCGTTAGCACCCGCCAATCCGCACTGAGCCCGCGTGGTGGGTCATGGCCCAGTCTCCCTATTCCGCCCATAGGGAAGGCCTGTGCCACAGCAGTGGGGACATTAAGAAGGCTGATGATGATGATGATAAGCATTTATTATTTTTATCATTAATTGCATTTTATGTTCATTTAAGTGCTTACATAGAGATAAACACTAAATCTTCTTAGAATATATAATGTATACATCTTTACGATTAAGTATAATAATTATAACCTCAAAATCTAATACATTCTTTAGTAGGCCACGGTTCCTCAAGTTGTCCGTATCTCAACAAATGCCTAATTAGAGTTTATGAATGATTCCGAACACAACTAGCATTTTCTCATTGCTGGGCGTTCTAGGGCATTCAGTGTACGGGGAACGAGCAATGTCCTTTCATCTAAATTCGTTTAGTAGTTTAGGCGTGAAAGCGTTACAAACTTACTTTAGCATTTATAATATTAAAAAAAGTTACGATTATTTCTTTAAGGATTATTTACTTAAAATGCAAAAGGACGCTTATTAAAACCTGTATGTATTCATATTTATTGTTTGATATGTATTTATCATTCATGTGTAATATACTTATATGGTATTTGTGTAGATATATGCATGTATATGTCCCTGTGCTTCTATTTTATATTGTGTTGCGTTCCATTTTATTATAAATTATTATTGCCCATTATATACTAGCTGACTCGGCGAACTTCGTACCGCCCAAAAGTAATAATTTGCAATAAATTAAAATTGCGACTATTATTCGAGATTTAAACTATCCTATCTCTCAAGTTGGATCGAACTGCACATGGTGTGGGAATTTTATTATAATCGGTTCAGTGGTTTAGGAGTCCATTGAGGACAAACATTGTGACACGAGATATATATATATTAAGATTATCCACAGTTGTACACTCATAAATAAATTTAATTTTTGCGCGTAGCGGTACCTTTACTTAATATTAGTAGGTATCTGCGGAAGACCAGCGTCGAAGCATCCTTAGATGCTCCGACATTATGCTGAGTAGATACCTTTTCAGCACCATGTATATTACTTGTGTATGTATTGTGAATGTTATCAAAATGGTCATGGTACTGAATAAATATTTTTTCTTTCTTTCTTTCTTTCTTTCTTTAACCCATCAGTTTGACAACAGCATATTTCCCACAGTAAACGGTGGATGGAGTGCTTGGAGTTCTTGGTCGCCGTGCCGCTGCAACGGGCGCTCGACGGGCGGCCAGCGGCGCACGCGAACTTGCACCGAGCCCTACCCGCTGAACGGCGGCGCGCACTGCCAGGGCCAAGCGGTGCAACGTACTGCGGACTGCGTGCCGTGTCAGAGTGGTAAGATTTCAACCTCAGATTACAGGTTACACATAACTCTAGCGCTGAACAAAGCGCGGAGGTAATAGCTGCGCATGGGTACGACTGGAGAGCCAATCGGCGTAACGCACGCTCGCCCGCGCACCTCTGTTTCCCCCAAGACATCTTAATTTTTACTTCTGTGCAATAACGGTCAGCGGTAGAGTTTCCGAGAACTAAAGGCAGATGGAACGCAGGGACCACGCAAGTGCGGGCCACCAAAGCAAATTTGAAGTCTCGTCTGATTTTTGTTCTGTAATCTAAGACTTTAACAATCTCATTGGAAAAAAAGTCATCGTTGAAGTTAAGCAATTTACGCAGTGACCAAAAATCTACTAGCTCGAGCTCCTCCGTGCTTTAGAAGGCACGTTGCCGCTGGTCCCGGCTGCGTTTGCAGTCGTTAGTACCCACCAATCTGCTCCAGGCCCACGTGGTGGGCTGTGACCAATCACCCTTTTCCATCCATAGGGAAGGCTTATGCCCCAGCAGTGGGGACATTAATGGGCTAATGTTGAATACAAGGTTCATTGGAAAAAAGTTGATGATTTGTGGTAGCTTGCTGTTTCATTAGTACTACTTATTTAATTCATTGAATATGATGGATAATTTGAATTAATAAAAAATAGTTTTAAAGCAATTTTTGATAAAATTATTACTAGTAAATAAAACATGGACTTCGTGTTCCCATTAATATCTCTTACTTTGTAATAATACAAGTATAACATGATATACTGCGAAAGTTAAACATTCTAGTACTTGAGTTTACTAACATGAAAACATATCTTTTATCATTGCTGCTCTGGAAGAAACTTATCTGGATAATACACAGCAACTTCTAGTCGGTAAGTACTTACCAACAATTGTTCAAGTGACAATACTACGAAAACAAATGTACCTACTAACCGAAATAGTCTTTACAATAGCGTGAAACATAAATGTTTTATTAGATCTTAACGCAGCTGTTCCTTAAAGCAATTCAACAGTCAATGCCTGTAGAAGAACCACAAACGTATCTTTGATCTGCTCGTGTGTCAATACGCCACCGAGACGCCATAAAGATGGAATTAATAACGAACATAAACCACACGTGCCGAAATCTATACAATTGAGAAGGATGTTGAGCTTAGTGTACACTGGTTCGCCGAATAAACGCGACGACAATTTTAGTGTTTCAGTACTCGTCGAGTCTTAATATTGTCAAAGATCAGCTATTTTGGTTTTTAGTTTCTTAGCAACATATTCTGTACCCCTAGCATGAACCAATATCGAATTCGAATCCGAAATGTCATTGTCAAATGTGTACTGATTTTTGGTTCTCGTTCCGTACTTTATGCCGCTGCTGTTCAAGTTTCCATATAAAATTTGACATTGACATTTCCGTTTGCAAACTATTCGAATTCGATAATGGTTCCTGTTAGGGGTACTGGTTTCGTTTCTTTCAGCAACAGTTGTTTTTTTGGAACTAAGTAACAGTAATTAGGCAACCAAGTAACTTTTACTGTAAAATTATTAATGAAAGTGGGCTTTAGTGAAGTTCATGATGATGCGTCGATGAGATAGAATTTGGTAAATACATATATATATGTTTAGCATTTAACTGCTAGGTTTTTAAATTAAAAGAAAATTTTACTAGGAAATATTAGAACTAGTAATAATTATTTTGCCGATTAATTAAATATCGGCATTTGTATTTTTTTTATTATTGATGACAATCCTTAAATGTTATAGAAGGGCGTTTGTAAATTAAGTTTAATTTAACGTAAAAAATCAAGTTTGCCAATAAAAACTCAGATAACTAGGTAGAATTTCCAAAAATATACCTTCTGACGAATTCAGAACTTCCTCATTTTTGAAGTCGGTAAATTTTTGAAGTTGGTAAAATTATTTATTTAACAGATGCACACATAATTCCTTGTGAACAAGTGTGTACCTAGCCTTTAAACCATATCTCCCTTTTACATCAGAACTATAAAAATATCCACCGTTTAATTCCGAGAGAGCGTAAACCCCGTACCAAGAGTCACATCAAAGCAAGTTAAACATTTGATTGCGACAATAAACCTATACGAGCACTGACGACTAAACGCAACATTTATGAAATCATTATAGAAGTTACAGATAACATAATCGTTAAGTGCGCCCGAATTTAAGTGCCTACTAAACCGATTTTCTTCTACATCTTTTTTTATTATTTTTTTATTTTAAGCATTAAGCTGTTTGATTCGTCAAAAGAATATTTTACTATCCAGTCTGCCACCTCAACACATTTGGTTTTCTCTTAGTAAAATATTATTTAGATATTTTTCTAATGTCTATAAGCTTAGTGTCAGTCAGTCTAATGGTTATATTGTTGACTAGTGGCCCGCCCTCGCTTCGCTTCGGTGTAGAGCTGTAGTGTAAGCTATAGTTTTTGTTCTCAGGCTTGTGCTATAAAGAATGACTTTATTTATATAATTACACGTGTTATTGTGAGTCAACCATAAAAGATAGACATATGCTGTTGCAGGATAATTTTTAGACAATTTTATGTAGAATATTTCCGTCATACATGATTTCTATGTAACTTTAACCATTAAGGCTGCACACGCGACGGAAGCTTATAAAATGGAGTAACTTCTCCCGTTTTCCCAACATTTCCCTTCACTACTCTGCTGCTATTGATTGTAGCATGATGAAAAGTATACTATAACCTGCCCAGGAGTATGAAGAATAATTGTACCAAGTTTCGTTAAAATTCGTTGAGTAGTTTTTGTTTCTATAAGGAACATACACACAGACAGACAGACAAAAATTGAACTGATTGCATTTTTGGCATCAGTATCGATCACTAATCACCCCCTGATAGTTATTTTAAAAATATATTTCATGTACAGAATTGACATGTCAACAGATTTATTATAAGTATAGATTGTGACAGCGTGCTTGTGGATGAGCATACGTAGGCATGTCGGTTACTGACTCTATAAAATTTAAATTAAGAATCAACAAAATACGAGGCGCTGCGAATTCAGTACAGAAGTTTACAAGAAAGGTAGAGTCTGTGCGGTAAGAGAATGGGACTTAGATTGGAGGGCGCTGTAGTGCTTTTCTATCGTATTTGTAAGGTTTTACTCCTTTTAGACGTGATTAAATACAAAAAACCGCAAGAAATCACAACAACAAACAAATCCGTATGAATACAATACTTTGACGTTTTACAGATTGCTGGGTTTGATTGCCAAATAAAAATCTTAATGTCAGTTCCGTTTTTCGCCACGCCCATTCTCTTTCCGCACAGACTCTAACGAAGTAGCTTGAATAGAACTCTAAGCAGCATGGCACTGATATAATCCAAAATATTGATTCCTGTCAATATTAAGCTATATGTGTTGTTTGATTAATATCCAACATAAATTTAAAAGTAATCTTTTATAAGTATTTTTATGGCCACACAGGTCACAATGCATGATAAAATTTCAGTGAAAGCAACATGAGGAGCTCGATGGCGCAAGTGGTTAGCGCGTTCGGCTGCGATCGTTGAACTTAAGCAACTTTCGCAGTGGTCGGTCATTGGATGGGTGACCAAAAATTACTATCTAGAGCTCCTCCGTGCTTCGGAAGGCACGTTAAGCCGTTGGTCCCGGCTGCATCTGCAGTCGTTAGCACCTACCAACCCGCACTAGGCCCGCGTGGTGGGTCATGGCCCAATCTCCCTATTCCATCCATAGGGAAGGCCTGTGCCCCAGCAGTGGGGACATTAATAGGCTGATGATGATGATGATGATGAAAGCAACATCCCTCTATTCCGTCCTGTGTCTCGTTGCGACTGCGTGTGCAGTCCTAAGAAACTAAAATAAATAAATTAAACAAACTTGCATTTTATTTGTACATGTGCTATTAATTTTAATAACGTCTTTTTGTATCTTTGTGGCGTATACTGCTGCAAGATAGCAGCACTGCAATTGACGAAACAAAAAAATAAAAACATCTAATAAATTCACATTGATGCAGCACAAGCTACATTATAGATACAAATATAAAATATTGAAAGAAAAAAAGGCTCAACTGTCAAACTTAATTTATCGAGTGAGCCAGCAGGTGTAGAAAGAATCGTCTCGATGTCCTGATTAGGTTGATCAAATAAATCAACCTGTATCCGTTCAACCGACCAAATAATCTCTAATGAACTGGCTAATCTCAGTGACAATTAAAATAATGTATCCATATAAGAGTGTGTCCTAATGAAGTTCGATGAACTCCTAAACCGTGTGTGAAATAAACAAACTAGAACAAGCGGACAATAAAGGCCAATCAAGTGGTGTTGTTTCAAGCCGCAGAGGATTATTGTTACCGCTAATTGGTAACACATGTCGGCTGCGCCTGTGGCGGTCTCCTTCCTATGCCACCATCGAAGTAGTGAAACATTTGTACGGACACTTCTTAAATTCTCCGTGCGTTTACGTAAATTATATTTTGAACTAAAATGTTCTATGGCGTGAACTCCACCCTTACTTATATGAAGTTGATGTATGATAGAAGAGGAATGGGTATTTGTATGAATGGTTGTATGTTTCTGCGAAGTAGTGTTCCTAGAATCTCTTTTGGCCTTTGTTTTAGCAAAATTTTTGTCGAGTCGAAAATTTTCTTTGGTCGTGGGGGAAATGTAACGTACATCAGGGACATTGCATTTTGGCAATCATAGGTTCCATTTTAAACATCTTATCATGCGTATGATCATCGATCTCAGCACACTATCCTTATTTTATATTATTTATTTCTGGAAACGCACAATTTCAAAAATATCACAAACTTTTCATCATTTTGTAATTTTTTTTAAATGTTTTATGGCTTCCGTCTTTTATTTCTAAAAGCCACTTTTAAAGAATATGAATTACTTAAACTATATACACGTATTTTGTCTATAGTTAAAATTTCTAGAATCTCAAAGTTTTTGCATTATGGAACAACAACATAACAGAAATAGTTATATTTTTGGTTTTTTTAAGCACTTAACGGTATCGATTCTGGCGTGATTCTCAAAACTTAAAACTAAATTTATAATCTTTCTGTCCTTTTTATTCTGTATAGAGAATAACAAGGCTACACTGTTGTCAAATTTAAGTTTAGGTTTAGAGAATCGTGCCAGAATTGGCACCAACGGCTAGATGATTAAATTTAAAGAAAAATGTACTAGATAAAAAGAAATCCATGCGGAACCGGCAGCAGACGGGACTCAAACCTGCACCCTATAATGCGAAGAGATGGCGCTGCCTTGCAGCCTAAGGCTAGAGAAAATTCGACCCGGCCGTCAGGGCCGCGGTAGCATAATGGTCAGTGTATTCGCCCGGATAGCGAAGGGTGCGGGTTCGAGTCCCGTCCGCTGCCTGGTCCGCGTGGATTTTTTACTAATACATTTTTCTTTAGATTAAAACGGAAATAATTAAAATCATAAAAAAACTAATGACTTAGTATTTTATTTAGCTTATAATTTATCATATTAGGCATTTTAACTTTCGGATGTCCATCAAAAGTCATTTCGGGTAGCATTGGACGGTCTAAATACCATATGAAAGAGAAAAACCCTAAGACTGCGGTCGTTGTTATCATTGCTATGCTTTACTAGGTGATCTCCTACGTAAAATAATAATAATTTATTTGCATCATAAATATTTTTTACAATCGTGAGGTACATTTGGTTGCTATCCAATTATACAGATATGATTGCTTCAGTATAAACATTAAATTTAATTAAGTGAAGTTTGAGTTAAATAAATCTAAGGATAAAACAAAACTTATTGTTGAATGCATGTAGGTGTGTATGTGAAGGTGTGTGTGTGTGTGCGTGTGTGTGTGTGTGTGCGTGTGTGTGTGTGTGTGTGTGTGTGCGTGTGAGTGTGTGTGTGTATGTGTGTGCGTGTTAGTGTGAGTGTTGTGTGTTTGAGTGAGTGTGTGTGTGTTTGAGTGAGTGTGTATGTATGTTGTGTGTGCGTGAAAGTGAGTGCGGAAGTGTGTATGTGTGTGAGATCAAAAGTGGAGGAAAATCAGCAAAACGTTTTACTTCCAGATTGTCGTTTTGATTTGGTCAGCAATCGAATCATGATCTCCATAATAGACAATAGTAATAGTGTTTTAGTTACCCAATTTATATGTAAGGGTTTTTCATCATTTGCGAAACCGACGACGTGCCGACATCGTTTTCACCGCAACAATATCTCTTCAATATAGGCTTTATCTATACATAAATTTACTGTTATGTAGTCTACGAAACAGCATTTCCACATTGGCGGAACGGAACATATTGTTTTAAATTCCCAAATAACCCAAAGAAATTTACCATCCGTGGTATATCGTAATATAATTTAGCCACTTTATCTTACCGAAACGACTTCCGACTCTCGCTTCTTTCACAAAAATTCGTTTCTCCCTTTAAGGATGTGACAAGTCGCAATTACCAACAATTTATTTCTGGTGTAAACGTGAAAAAAATGTGGAACTCTTTTATGTCGGTTGGTCGTCTCCTAACGAGCCTCGACTGATTTATATGTGTGCGCATTAATTAATAAGAAATGTTATACAGTGTTGTAGTTTAATATGCATAGTACGCCCACGGAGAGGGGAGAGAGTTGACACGGTGGCGCGAGTTACAAACAGAGAGCTGTTTAGATCATAAAAGGATGCAAGCACACAATTTGCCACTGTAATTAATAACAAATAATGTTTTCTATAATCTTGATGAATATTATACTTGTAAAACTTAATATAATTTAGGCTCTAAAATGTACTTTTTAAATTATGATAGTTTTAAGTTATAAATTTTACCATTGCATGCCCGTTGTGGGCACACTGTTGTGACTTTGTTAATATTGAAATTCCAACTGTAAAATTGTACACAGTTTTATAAGCAATAAAGTTATTATTATTATTAAAAGGATGATATATTAATTTTATCATATTACTAGTGGCCCGCCCTTGATTCGATTAGGTGTAGAGCTGTAGTGTAGTCTATAGTTTTTGAAGTGAAAACTTCTTTAGCGGTGTTGTAATTTTTTTTTGTAATGGGTAAAAAATGTTAAACTCTCATCAGGATACGTGGCCTGATCGAAAATTCGTAAGACGAAAACAGTAAAATTGGAAAGGTTGTTGACTTTCAATATATTGGACGAAACATAGTAATATTTTATTTTATCGTATTATAATGACAATTCTCTAACTAGGACGTCCAGGTGGCAGCTTTATTGCGTAGAAAATGCATATTTTTTACAATAGATGTCGCTAGGTGCGCTTAAATATGATTCATGTAAGTTGATTTTTCTGGAAGATAAACTTTTTAATGTAATATGAATTGTCATATTTGTGTACGATAGATGAATAAATAAATATTGTACTCTACCATATAAATGATAGTACTTTTATACTGATAATCAAAGCAATTCGTGCAAAATTATTCCCTAACCATTCCAAAATATCAAAAATGTACAACGTTAATATTCAAGTTTTCACTTCTGCCGGCACTCCCGGAGTGCAACCCGTAGTTTTTTGTTCTCAAACTTGTATTATGGATTTCTTTATATAATTATGAACTTTCCGTAAAAAATAGATATAATTTCTAATATCATAAAACTGGAGAGTTTGTTTATTTATGTTTTTGGTTGAACGCACTAATCTCAGAAGATACTGGCCTGATTTCGATTATCGCGAACTTTTTTAGATTTTAATGTTCTCTATAATAGTTCGGAGCCTATTCAATACAAAGAAACAATCAAATCTTTCCACTGTATAATAATTAAGTATAGATTAGCACCTGTTTAGATATCTGTCCGCAATCACATTTGTTTTGTCGTCTCTTCAGAATTGTCTTTAAAAGATATACGTAACATGATATTTTCATATCATTGTAATGTAGAATGCTATCAATTGAGTAAAATATATTTATAAATTTATAGTATTTTAAAGCTTGTAACTGCTTGATGTTTAAATCTAAAGAAAAAAATATAACTAGAAAAAAATCCACGCGGGCCAGGCAGCAGACGGGACTCGAACCAGCACCCTTTGCAATCCGGGCGAATGCACTGACCAATTATGCTACCGCGGCCCTCACGGACCGCGTCGAAATTCCTCTAGCCATTCTTAAGCTGCAAGGCAAAATATTATTTTTATCGTCATGCAAATGTTCGAATTTGACAGCAACGAACAAATATATTAATATCAGCTTAAGTGAGCAGGTCAAGATAGCTTTTCAAATGAACGTTCCTTTTGTTCTATTGATTCTTTTGCTTAATTTGATATTTCTTATAGATTTTTTTAACGTGAGAGAATCGCTACCTTCTCTTCCTTACGCCACCAATAAATCAGAATGTACACGACTCTCTATTATTTCTTTTGTAAAAAAAAACACGTGATTTATGCCACTCTCGCATGTAAGGGCAGTTACGGCCATCTTGGCAATGTATTTTAATTTCAATTTATACGACCATTCTTTATGAGACCATTGCTTATACTTTTACCAATGGTGCTATCTCAAATACAAAATAATGAAGTAATCGTTTTAATAATAACAAACAGTACCTACCCAGGAGTTTATATTGCACATAATCTAGTGTAAATAGTATTACCACCGTACTAGTAGTTGTATGGTGGTTGTGGTAGTACATACTTTGTAGAAGTAGTACTATAACCCGATTTTGGCAGTCGTCTATAATGCGATTCAACTAAGATTAGGACCGACTGGGCGCCATATTGTGATGTAATTGCTGTCAATTCAAACCAAATAGGTAGAGTGAGCAAAAAAAAGTTTTAATTTAATAAAGCTTATTTACTAAGATTAAGCGAGAAAAAGCATTTTTTTTAATAACATTTATTTACTAAGATTGAGAAAAAAACCACCGATTTTTAATAATATTTATTTATTAAGACTGTGGGAAAAAACATTAATCAGAATCTAGCTCTTCTATTCCGCACATCTCTGCATTACCGCCGCAGTAGTTATGAATAATTATGCACTATTACTAGGTCACATACGAACATGCATCCTTTATGTAAACGAAAGTTTGAAATTGAGTTTCTGAACGCAACTTAAAGTGACATGTGGTTGACGATTTAGGTTATCAACCACTCATGGCCAATGCTCAGATGCTCAAAAATATCAACCGATATTAATTATCAATATTTGTTATCTTTTGTTTACAAATGTTTGGTTTTAACCTTGAATTAGCGGAGTGCTAAAAAAGGGTTCCAAGTTTTTTTTTGCAAACCGTACTTTTCAAGCGACATTTGACAGATAGAGGTCATTGGATTTCCTATTCTTATTTGAATCACATTATACATTAAATTAATAGAGAGACTTGTACAAAAGTCATCGTTTTGAAACTTAATAAACTAAGATTTTTGTAGGTACATAGAATCGTCTATTCATTTTAAGTTTGATCTATGTTTATTAGTCAATATCTTTGTGAAATGTATAATGAGTATTAAAAATGATTTTGTAATATTGATTGGAGGAACTAATGAAAATAATCCCTATGTTACCCAAAGCTCGTTTAATAATGCTTTGTATTCTCTAACAAATATTAATATCATAATGACTGAAGTTCCATATAACAAAAATGTATATGAAGATAAACTTAATTGTGAGAAAGTAATAGTGCTTACCTCTAAGATTTACATTTGAAATAAAACGACTCGTTGTATTAAAAAAAATACGCCGTTAGAAAATCGTTAATTACTAGGTCTTCCAGGACCTGTGTTATTCCTCGTATTGAAGTCTTTCTTTCTTTCAGCTCTGCCTGGACGTTGGGGCCCCTGGTCCGAGTGGTCTGTCTGTGAAGCTGACTGTCGTCAAAGCAGGCGGAGGTCTTGCACTGGAGACACTCCATGCTCTGGACAACATGTTCAGTACGCAGACTGCGTGGGTGATTACTGCGGCGTGCACGGTGGTGAGTTCGAGAAAACTTAATAATGTGAAAACACCCGTGAATCATTGATATTGTACACCATTTATATTTATGACGTTATTCCATTTCTGGTTCTAAGTAAAACAGGGTTATTTTTTAAATTAGGAAATCAAGAAAATACTGCGTTACATAAAAGATCTACAATTAATGAAATCCATTGCAGAATGTTTTTAGTATTTGTCATAATTAATGTGAATCTTCTTGGACATACATCTTTGTTAATCTCCCGAATGTCATAATAAGTTCCGCTGCAACGGCATTTTTTTATTATGATTAGCTACAGCATCAAGATTCTTTCTCAAATTAACTGTCATATTTATCCCGCATACGTTTCCGTCTGCAAAGCATTTCAAAACACTCATCGACACCATATTTTTTTTTTAATATCAACATGGCCCAGATAATGATACCGGTACAAAAGAGCATCGACCAAAACTTTATGATGGCAAGTCACATGGGAATCTACATCTATGAATCGATTCCTCTAGGGACATGTTAATTAGGCCAATTCTTTGAAAGGTATACGGTTTCTTAGGACCAGATGCCATGCTTCTAAAAATACACTTCCTTTTCCGCGCACGCTCATAACTATGAAATGTTACACGGACTGCGCGCTTTATAACGGGCTATCGGCATAACCGCACTTAGCCAAAGTAACTCGATCTTCCCACCCTCCCACAACTCAAATAAATTGGTTACATTTGGATTTGAATATGGAGCATAGCACGGGCCTAAATAGGTGGTTGCGTTATTTGATTCAAGAGATACTAAAATCGGGCAGTGTAACCATCTGGGTCGTGTCATATCTTCTAAATATAGACGGGAGTCTAAAATTTTATGGTCTTCTTACAAAAATGTTCTGTAGAACACTTAGCTTTCCATATCAGGGTGCTCGTTTGCCGCTAAACATAGTAAGTGATGTCATTGTTGTTGCTCAGTTGAGTTATAAAGTCAGAGTAACTCTTGATTCTACTTGTTTAGTTTACAGATGACAATTTGCTTGTAAAATGTCAGTATATACCGAAACATTTAAAATCGATTCCCTTCAGTATCATCCCGTCATACTTCCGTGTCCGACGCTCCCTAGACAGCCACGCAATTCAATCTCCAAATTGAAAATGATCAGTCCGTATTTTGTTTATAATAGCAATAAATCATTTCTTGGTCCCTGTTGACTCGGTTTCAATTTCCCATTCTGTTTATCGAACATTTGATAAATATCCCCCCGGCAACCGCGACTTGTTTTGGTTTGCTCAACAATTTCTTCTTCCCCACAAACGCCTCGGTTTACGCTAAATAAATCTGCAACCTCTGACATATTTGCCTATAAATTGGTTTTCTTTATCTTTGAGTCAAGATTGATCGTTATTTATCGGAGATCATTACTCAGAGACTAGTTTCGTTCATTTTACACGTGGATGATAATATTGCGTGTGAGTCTTTATTTATCTTATCTATCATACTGGTATTTTTTTGATTTTCTACTAAATTGGTCTCCAATTTAGTGTGGGTCTTCAAAGTTTCATTTATTTGTCAAGAACTTGTGATTGTTGAACCATCATAAATATTTTTTTTTTTCTTATAAATAAGGTAAATTCATTTTTCATTAATAAATAAATATTTATTTCTTATGCAATACAACACAATAATGAGCTTAGCCCCAAAGTAAGCATTGTAAGGCTTGTGTTATGGGTTTGAAATATTAACATAAACGATAACAACTCAGGTTAAAAATACTCGTATTAATCACCCAAACTTTAGCCCCTACATGAATTAGAACACAGGTCTTTCAAGTAGGTGAAGCCTCTAAAAATGTTAAACATAAATAAGTAGCATTACCACGGAAGTTATGAAAATCAAACAAAGAAATATTTTTTTGAAAATTATTGATCGAAAATCGCGGTCTAGCAACCTACGCCTAACCGTACGAATGCACTGTATAATCAATATTATAAAATTACTATTTAGCTAGGACAAAAAAAAACGTATAATGCGGGAATACTATTAATTCATCTCATAGCTCTACTGGCACATTTTTTTCCATTAACCAAATAGGAAAATGCTATAACATTCATATCTACAGACGGACCGTTGCTTTCAAGTAAGCCCATGGAAGGCACCATCACTAAATTACCCACATGAAAGGTGAGTGAATGCGAAGAACGTTGGGTTGGGCCATTCATTCGCGCCGGACTCGTTCGTGCCACTTCATTAGCCTAATTGCCCCGTACAAAGGGGAAATGGCGAAATTTTATAGCTCCTTTTCATCTTTTGTTGCCTAAACATTGAAATAGGATGAATGCGTTGATTAAACGTAAAGAGACAGTAACTATGTTATTAAACACACTTTATGATGACATTAAAAGTGTAGACAAACTACTGATCGCTGGCAGGTGTTACTAAATTTATTAATATTTATAGCCTATTCGGATACATTTTACCATCCTAAATGCAGCGGACTTTAGTAATGTATCTATTGACCCATTTATTGCAACATCCGGTGTTAACAAAACTTTCTAATCTGCTAGTTATCGCTTTAATATTAGACGTCTCAATGTTGATTTTAAATCACTTCATATTTCCATAATCTCAATGTTGATGAAACATAAAAAAGATCGTCATAACCAAATGTATGTTGGTGATAAGTACTACAATGTTAATCGAAATTGATGGTGATTACAGCGAATTCTGAAAGATATTTAATTCTGATTGACGCTATGGCAAACAAACGCAAAATTCAATTTATATGCGATGCAGCCATCATTATTGGAGGTGGGTCCAGCAAATGATTTGTTGTGATTTCGTCGAGTGAACGCAGCGGGTGATCGCAAACTGCATTCACATATCACTCTATAACCTCACCGCCAATATCACCTTTATCAAAAGCCTTGTTAAGGTCCACATTTGCCGAAGATGTTTTTGTTTGAGAATTTAATTCCGCAAGGCCTCCTACCATGTTATGGGCAGAACGACAAGGGTTTGTAAATTCGGATTGGTTTTCGTATCTGCAATCTCTGCGGCAGACACGAAATACGACTGGCACTGACAAATGTTTACACACTGTACAAATTTTGAAATTAATCGGATAAACGCATGGTACATAAATTAATGGAATATTATAGATGGATAAGTAACAGATGTGTGATTTATAATAAACATAGATATAGTTGACGGTAAGGGCTAGGTAGAACTTGTTAGTTCGGGAGATTTATAGGCACTGCTCTGCTGCAATGTTACGCCATTGCGTAAAAATCCGGTGAAGCTTCGGTAAAGTTGTTTACCCGTTTGTGAGTCATAATATGTTAAAATCTATTTTGATATTTTCGTTAAAGTCATCCCTGTAGGAGGCGTTATTTAAATTATAATATAGTATAACTGCAATTAATATTACTATCACACTAAAATGTGGCTTGAGAAATTTTTAAACAAAGCTAAAGAATATCGAAGATTACAGTTCATTATGGAATTCCATGTATCAATACCTATGGAAGAAAATAATAATCTCAGTGTAATCAACTTTCATTAATAAGACAAGTAAAATGAATAATATTATTCTCGGGGTAACTATCCACCACAACTATGTTGAAGCAGTAAATTGAAATTTGCATGCTGCCACCATTTATCAGCTACCGAATTTTACTACCATTTAATTGAAACTTGATACAAATGGATTCCCATTTTGTTGGAATAAGTGCTCAATAATAATTAAGCTAACTCTATCCGAATTAGGCTGCAACTAGTATTGTTGGTTTGATTAAATTCTATGTTTAGTGAGAGATTCTATTATTACATTGTGTATTCCCTGTTTGCAGATGTGATGGGATGTATCAATCTGGACGAGCTTTTTTAAACTTAATAAGATATTGTTAAAGATGACAATAGCTAACTAGATGCACTCATTTTTCGCATATGAAGCTATAAGGTACAGAGCTTAGAACCCGTTTAGGTGACCTATTTTTCCATAAACGAATGCACTGGATGATCTTATAATAAAAACGGTTACGATTTTAAGAAAAAAAGCATTTGTAATGTCGCCTGAAGAAATGATTGTTTTCTAACTCATTTATTATGTGCATAACAATAATAATAACAAAATTTCACTGAGAAATATAACGGTTGACGTAATAACCGCATTTGGAGTCAATATAAAATTTAAATAAAAGCATCTCGAGTCTTGAGTATATTAAAAGCAAATGTCATACTTATTAGTTCAAACACATGTTGACACATGAAGACCCCATGTCATCGAATCCTCGGGCCGAAATTACGGGAGAACCAAAAAAAAGTTCGTTAAAAATGCGCCACCAAAAACACAATCGTAAAGTTGGGACGCGATGACATAAATAATATCGAAGCAGGCGTGCCAGAATCTTTTACGGAAAAACACAACCTTAAAACAATCACACACATTGAACTCTACTCCTTTGTAACAAAGATTGAAACGGCTTGGAGAAATTTACGTTTTTAATATTTTGGTGAAGAACTTTTTATATGACGACTCGTAAAGTGTTAAAAGATTATCGTGTACAGGTGTAGTTCATAAAGTTCAATTTATTTAATAGTTTTCGACGGAATAAAGTTCTCCCGCTGAGTACCAATGTCTGTTGAACAGAAGAGAGCTGTAACATTTGTGATCAATACTTCATTTACATACTGTAGTTGTAGAACATCGATAACATTGTCGTCGAAGTGTATGTACGTACAGTTAGCAACGTGGCCTATAATCAAAAACTGTTTTTCAACGACTGACTTTGAGTTTTACCTTGTTTCATAAAATATTCAGAATCACTTGAGGAATTTTGTCATTTTCTGGTGACGTATTTTTAATTGTACAAACATAGTTTGTACACAAATTAAGCATTATTGTTCTTTTCTGTAACTTTGTCTACGAGTTTCACCCTCAAATTTGCTGTATTGTTTAAAAGCTGAGCACTTGAAGCCTAAAAATTTAAATATTTTACTTTATATAACTATACATTGTTAGTTGGCATAATATTAGAACAGTTACTTCCTATAAGCATTATATCAAAGTAGAAACTATTCATATGTATCAACATTATGAAATACACGGCCATAATACAAGCGAGCATTTCCATTAAATTCACACGTTAATTATAATTACAAGCGTACATAGCCATGGGAGGCAGCTAGTACACATAGATTGAAGAACAGACTTCAATTAAAATTAATTTTCTTATTATTTATGAGAACATTATTATCAGGTAACTTGAAAACATTTGGAACTTTCATCTCCTTGATAAACTTTGATTAAGATCAAAGACAGCTTAATTTTGACTCCGACCTTGACAGAGCTCCTTCAATTTTAAATTGAATTTACGCGTAGCTAATTAGTAAACATAAATTTTAATATCTTCCTTTCGTGTAACATCTAACCTTCCAATTTAAATATAGCCTAGGCTTTCCTGTTTTTTTTTAACTTTAAAATGAAATAAAATTAATAATGTATTATATCCCCATAAAACCAGTTCAGAATTTTCTTTTGTTATATTAATTTATGTTATTAGCTGGATTGCTATTATGTTCCTTATTTTTCGCTACGGACAAGAACTGGAAAAAACCACTAAATAAAAGAAATTCTCTAAGTGTCGCCGCATACGGGCCACACGCCACAGCCACAAACGCCGCCACGAGAAGCTAGAAGCGGCTACTAAAGTGGCTGAAGCGCGACAGCGGCCGACTAAGGTAAGGGAGAGAGGGGTGGGGAATCGCGCGAGTGACGTGTGGCGGCGTTTTGTATCGGCGTATTAAGTGGCCGGTGCGAACCACAAGAAGCGAGCAACGACGATTTGTAGCGTGTGGCGGCCACCGGCGTACAGTGTGTGGCAAGTCCATATAAAATCTATGAAAACTACAAGAAATATGCCAGTGGCGGCGTTTTATGGTCGTGGTCGGCGGCCCGTGTGCGGCGACATTAATAAATAAAATGATATATCTTGCCAATACTCGTTATTAAGAAGAAACAAGAGACATAAGATTATTTTCTTTCAACAGTGGCAGCCCACAGCGATATTCCTTTATACATCGGTATCGCTGTAGCAGTGGTCGTGTTCTTGTCTGGTGCAGCGGTTGTTTACAAGCTTCTTCAGAGGAAGACCAGAGATCACTCGCTCTACACTATGACCAGAACTGGTAAGGATGCTATTATATTATCAGAAGAAAGATTAATATTTCCAACGCTAACTGCTGAAAACTGTTTTGATTTCAGAATAGAATCTAGTTTTCTCATATTTACACATAAATGTAAGAGACTTCAAATTTTCACATAAATATACTTGGGTTTCTTTTTTGTGCTAACGTCAAGACATAAGCAGTGGATTTACTAGCACTACGAAATTCGCTCTTATATTTACCTGTCTAGTAAAGTCCAATCTAGGTTTCTTATATTTTCTTAAAATGTCTTAAATTAATTAATTGATTTCAAAATATTACAACCGTCCTTTTTTATCCCAAAATACATCTACCAAAGCATCTTTGACTGTACTTGTCTAATTAAATATTACTTTTCAAGCAGACTTTCAACCGGAGATCTATCCTACGGTAGAGAAGCAGTCCCTCTCGTTGGCACCAGATCTGATGCAGCACAGACCTCCGAGATATGAGCATCCACAACCTGACACCAGAGCAGAACACCACTACGATGTACCTCATCTGACTAACAGGTTTGGACCAAGAATACATGATGTAACGATTACGAATGAGATAATAAAAATTTGTTGTTTATAGTCTTCTCTTATCTCTTCATGAAGTTGTTCATTTATGTGTCCATTAGACGTTCATGCAGTCGTCAGTCAAAATCATCAGTCATGAATGATAGAAAATGGACGGTGACTATAAATTCATCAGTCTCCCCATTAGTTATCCATCAGCCATAATCTTGACTTTTTTATACGATGCACACAAATCACCCCACTCCACTTGATGTTATGTGTATATGGAGTCAAGTCGCGAAGATAGATGATGCCGCAGAAACTGTGCCGCTCCAGCTATTCTCACCTTGCCGGCCTGAATCCAATCTCCTACCTCGCAGGGCCCTGGAACCCTACTCACCAGCAAAAACATAGCACCTGTGGTCTTCTGTAAGGCGGAAGTTGCTTCCTCAGACGAGCGCTAGAATCATAGCTGAGAAACGGCTGTACCCTATCTCTGTAATTTTATGTTTTAACAGAACATAGCAGTGCACATAATCTACAGACTCACCATCGTCCAGAATACTTGCGTAACCTTAATTATAAAAAATATCTCCTACCGAAAACCAACAATGTATATGGTTCGAGAACACTAAAATATGTTATTCCTAAATTTCTAAATGAAAACCCCCCAGTATTCAAGAATTGTATGTGAAAAATAATTATAAACATAAACTTAAGAAATATTTGTTAGAGCGAATCGCTGTAGACAGATAAACCCATGTTTAAGGGTTTTTAGATACAGCCATTGTATATTAAAATGTAATTGATTTGAAAATAAATAAATCTTTCTTAAATTGAATTGACTGTCAGGAAACTGACAGCCTACAAACCTACCGTCTAAGGGACGCTTATGTTATGACTTTTTATTTCCGTACTATTTATTCCATCCTTTCTTAACAGTTATGCCTCACCGGTGGATCATCAAGTGACTCCTTGTGCGTCAAGTAAAGGACAGAGCGACGACTATGACAGCAAACCGTACAGCGAATCTGAGCATTCTGCATCAAGCTGTTTCACTTCATGTAAGTATGAAATGTAATGTAACCATTAAAAAGCGTCTGATGATTTATCTGTGTTCAGTTTAGTATGTCTCTTTCATTTATTGTAAAAACAACCAAAATTTTAATTCATGTATGAGTTTGTCTCAATGGTCTCGTTATAAATATTAAAAAATTTGGACGATTCAAAAGAATATTGTACTATGAATCCAATTTTAATCAAGACAATTTAAATTTATAAAAAAAATATACAAGCAGTTTAATTTTAGCAAATGATAGAATTATATTAATCAGGGGGCCAATCGCCTAACGGAAATGCTTTGGGAAACGCTAACGCTTACGATTTTATATTGTTATTTCTAGCCGCCTGAGGTTTTCGGATACCTCACGATCATTTTTTTTTATATTGTTATTACCAATGCAAGAGAAAAAGAAAGAGCGCGAGGCATTTGAATACCTCAGGCGGCTAGAAATAACAAAATAAAATCGTAAGCGTTAGCGTTTTCCAAAGCATTTCAGTTAGGCGATTGGCCCCCAGGTACTGAAATTACTTATTTTAATTTCATTATCAGTTTATTCCGTAGAAATTTTTCTCACGTGTTTTTAATATTAAGAGAAAATACCGGTAAACTTTTATCTTTAAATAACAAACAATGCCCACTTATTGAGGTGGTTTGCCTCGGCCCATGTAACACAATACTCCGTGAAAGTCAAACGGTTTTAATGCAAGACAATTACTTGTTCATAATTTAGATCTAATCTCTCCAAATTGCACTTTCGTTTCGTTATTAACTTAGTTATCTAATGGCATTGGCATATTGTCTATGGGGTCCGGTTTATAACAGGATTGTGTTTGTTTAAGGTTTGGTTATATCTAATGTTATTATGTACTTAAAAAGAATTTTTACTTACGTGTACAATTCTTCTGTGAAACAAAGGTTTTCACAAAATGTTTTTATCGTAAACACATTGTGTTAGTATTTTAACATATAATTACGCCAATATCCAACCTCAATCCAGTAGATTTTCTTCAAGTGATTTTTTTACTTATAGAAAGGCTATAATTTTAAATGAAGTCATTTTAACTCAACAAACTATTGACTCACAACTAACGTTATACTTAAAAGACAGCCAAGAGAGTCCACTCAACGTCCTCGATCTGCATTAACGTGTAATTGTATAGTATTTGAAAAGTATCTGTTAGAAATAGTAGTTTTCTCCGCTATCTAAGTATGTACTTAATAAGAAATGTAACATTTACTCAGACCCTTGAATTATGTTTCAAGCCTCGCTCTTGGAATACTGAACTACTTATTGAAGCTTTAAAATACGTGAAATTTAACTAACTGACAATGAGAAAAATAAATCAAAAACCGATCGAACCTTAACGACCCTACTTATCGTACGTTCCACCACTCTGATAGTGATAAAGACAAAACAAAAACCAATCGAACCTTAATCAGATGAGTAAGGAAGGCACAGAGGCAAGGCTATCGCCATCAATAAAAACGCTTCTCTGCGTACGCGACATGAGCCACTGCTCACATATACACGCGCACTTGAATGAAACTTTGTCTCTATGCCTTCTTTATCACACTAATATTATAAAGGCGAAAGGTTGTGAGTGTGTATGTCTATTACTTTTTCACGTCTAAACGGCTGGAGCGATTTTAATAAAATTTGGTATGGAGTTAGCTGTCACCCTGGATTAAGACAGATTAAGTTTTACTGCGGGGAAAATATCCCTAATGAACAGCGGGTAACACCGCGGTGCATAGCTAGTTACTCATATGCCTTAATCGTAAGTTTGTTTCCAGCTGGCTCCATGTACGACGCAGCCAACGAGTCAGTGACCCTTCAACTAGCTGAACTGGTTTCCAACTCCCCAACATCTCAATCCTTGTCGGTGGCCAGCGCTGGCGCTAGGTTGGCCTTGCCGGCGGCGGGTGTGGCCCTGTCCATACCCGAAGCAGCTCTCAGTAGAGGGAGGAGGGAACAAATGTACGTGGCTGTCGTCAAAGATGACAGATACCGGCCGAGACTTGGAAAAGGTGGGTTTTAGTGTTTGATTAACAGAGTGTTACATTTCCTGAACTTTGACTCCTGTGAGAATAACATGTAGATAGAATTACTGTAATAAATGCTTCTCTGTTTAGAAAAAAAGTTGCATTGATAACAATAAACCTGATTTCTAAGATGTCGTATTCATCACCGTTAAAATACTTATTTAAAGACTTGGATGGTACCATGACGGCACCTAACAGTATTAGAATTAGCTTGTCAATATTGAAATACCTAAATTATCTCTTGGGACGCTAGTTTTGCTGTAACCGTCCTCTTATTTGAATGTGATATAAATAACAGGTTATTTCGCCATGAAATAAAAGGACTGTAATTATGGTTCGAAAAAATTATCTTAAGTTCCGCCTAAGGCAGATCGACTCGCAACACATATCTCATTCGCTCCTAAGATACTTTATTAAGAGTAAATTTTGCCCTACAGGTATCACGCAGCTGAGTCCAGTAGTTAAATGCGGACCACCACGTCTCCAATTAAATAAGTCAGTGATACTACAAATACCGCATTGTGCAAGTCTCAAACATGGCTTTTGGAACCTGACCCTTTACGCCATAGATCACAACAATACCAAAACAGATAACACCCAGCCGCAATGGAAGAAAGTCGTTAGCCTCGGACAAGAAACAATCAACACGCCAGTATTTACACAACTGGATAACGACAAAATATACCTTGTGACAGACTTGCTGTCGACGTTCGTTCTAGTCGGCGAAAGTTTCAATGGAAAAGCTGTTAAAGCTCTGCAGCTGGCAATATACGCACCTGCATCGCTAAACGAAACATGTTCCGAGTATAGTATTAGGCTTTATGTATTCGAGGATACACCGTGCGCGGCGTACTACTGCCAAGAGCAAGAGAAAAAATTAGGTGGGGTTTTGCTCGAACGCCCGAAAACATTGTTGTACCAAGACGGCGGATCCAATTTGTGTTTGAATTTAGAACACGTCAGTCCCGGTTGGAAGGCTAAACCCGGCATTGGCTATCAGGAGATACCGTTCAATCACGTTTGGAGTTCGAATTACAATGCGCTGCACTGCAGTTTCGTTCTAGAGAGGACGCACGACTGCGACAATATTGACTTCAGCGTTTCGGCATGTCAAAGGACCAATCCATCCTACAAACAGACGTTTCGAATATCCCTCGAGGACGTGCGGAGTAGATCGCCGCGGGGGAGGTCGCCTCGAGCCGAGTCGCAGCGTAGTTTCAACATAACCGAAAATCTTTTGGAGGCTCGCATGTGCAGAAGCGACGACGGGGGCGAGGGCAAAAGAAGCGTTACGGTGAGCGAGGCGGGAGTCAACGAGTGTGCAGGCGAGGGCCCATTTAAATTAAGTGCTCGAGTGAAACGGCAGCTTTGCGCTATATTGGACCCGCCGAACGCGCGGGGAAACGATTGGCGCGCGCTCGCGTCTAGGCTCGGAGTGGATCGTTATACGACTTGGTTCGCTACTAAGAGCTCACCGACAGAGGCTATCTTGGAGCTATGGGAGTGCAGGGAGCGGGGCCCCGGGGCCACCGCCGCTCTGGCATCTGCGCTCCGCCAAATGGACCGCCACGACGCCGCTGACCTATTACAAGGCAGGCCTTCGTGGTTATGAATTATCAAGGAGTCGGACCTCGACTTTAATTAGCGCTCGAGGTATTGCGAAAACGCAAGAGGCCCTAACTATACGGACTATTTGTTGGTAAACTAATTCGTAGTATAAATGTTACGTTAGAGAAAGTATAGTTTGGTCAAACGGCCTAAGTTTGTAAAATCGTCGTAGTATATATTGTATAGAATACATTATCTATGCTGTAGATAAGCGGTCGGAACATAAATTATAATTATAGTAGCAATAATAGTGCCTACAAAGTCTTTTAAAGAACTACTGCCAACCCCGAAAGTTGGTGTCGGTTGATTATTTTGTTATTTTTATAAGTCTTTGAGTGTTCATTATTTAATCGAAAAATTTATCGCTTGGTTTCACGTTTCTTTCGCTTGATGATAATAATTTCTTGCTTGTTTTTTTAGATATTGCAATCCTGTGCCAAAAATCGAATGCCACAGTGTTGTTTGGCAATAATTAAAAATGTTATACGCGATTCCGAGCTTATTGTTATTGAAACAAAGTAGACTTTTATAATTAATTAGTCATTTCCTTAACGGGTGTATCATAAACATAAACTTTATCGCCCTCAAATCTAAATTCATAGGTAATTAAAATAAAGTTTAATTTTGCTTAATGAAATTCGTTGACGTGGACGTCTTGCACGTACTTTGAAAGACTTAAAGCTGATTGCATTTATATTATTCATCTTTAAAGGTTTCACCTTCTCTGTGGTTCAATGTATCACTTCATACTCTGTATATAGTGTAACAGATTGTAAATAAGTGTATCGCAGCGATTAGTTGAATGTAACCATCGTTTTGTAAATGGATATATACAACGCCACCGTAGACTATATATATTTTTGTTAACGTGATGACTATTAAAATAATTGAATCTGTGATACTTAAAATAATATGAAATAAATTATGTTTAACTGTGAGTTATGTCTCTTATTTTTCAAATCAGTTTTTTTGTAGACCCTCATCATTGTATTGTATTTTTATAAGGAAATAACTAGAAAATGCTTTCTTATCATACTTGCGGCTGCCCGCGACTTCGTACGCGTGGAATTAGTTAGAAATAAAGGTTCATTGCTCGTTCCCCGTAGGTGATAGCGTGATAATATGTAACCTATATGTTGACCCTACTTTTTAATAATATTCGTGCCAAATTTAAAGCAAATCCATGCAGTACTTTTTGAATTTATCCCGGATTTATCCTATACAGACAAACAGAAAAAAAATCTAAAAACTATATTTTTGGCTTCGATATCGATTGCAGATCAAACCCCAAGTATTCTTAAAAAAAAATATTCAATATGCAGTTTTGACTTTCCTACTATCTATATATATAAAACTCAAAGGTAACTGACTGACATAGTGATCTATCAACGCACAGCCCAAACCACTAGACGGATCGGGCTGAAATTTGGCATGCAGGTAGATGTTATGACGTAGGCAGCCGCTAAGAAAGGGTTTTGATTAATTCTACCCCCAAGGGGATAAAAAAGGGAATGAAAGTTTGTATGAAACTTTGTCAATTTTAAACCGATCGGGCTGAGACTTTGCATACAGGTATAAGAAGAATCATAGATGAATGTCATTGTGTATAATACAAGCCTGAGAACAAAAACTGTAGTCTACACTTTAGCTCTACACCGAAGCGAAGCGAGGGCGGGCCGCTAGTTTTATTATATGTATGTATAGATAACTTCGAAACATTTAACAACGATAATAATGATTAAATCAACACTACCTACCGTTTTTCACAAATCAATTTAGATTCTATCACTGACATTAAAATCGTTGACCCCGTTCTCAAAGTATCATCGAAGCCTTAAGAATCTAGATTGAAAAGATGAACAGATACTGGACAATGGCTCTGAAGCATCCACGCTTAAGTGAATGTCTACACGGAGCGAAATTTGCGTCGCGTATCGCGCCTTCATGACGCTTCATTAGAAATGTACCAATACAAGTAAACACAAGTAACTGTACTTTAAATCTAAAGAAAAGTTTACTAGAAAAATAAAATCCACGCGGACCAGGCAGCGGACGGGACTCGAACCCGCATCCTTCGCTATCCGGGCGAATGCACTGACCATTATGCTACCACGGCCCTATTAAGGCTTAAGGCTAGGAAAATTTCGACGCGGCTAATAGGGCCGTGGTAGCATAATGGTCAGTGCATTCGCCCAGATAGCGAAGGATGCGGGTTCGAGTCCCCTCCGCTGCCTGGTCCGCGTGGATTTTTTTCTAGTAAACTTTTCTTTAGATTTAAACATCTAGCAGTTAAATGCTTAAAAAATAAATAAAATCATAACTGTTTTTTGCCAAGAAAAAAACATCTTCAATTTATAAAACACACAGTTACTGCATAAGTATTCTGTAGGATGCTCTCCCACTTTTTATTTTATTTTTCTAAATGGCTTCGCACGTGCATTTAGCTAATGTCAAGTATTAAGATGTTTACGAATACTACAGCACTGGTGGTCAAAGTAATAAATCAAGTCAAAATAAGTGGCAGTCAAGTCAATCCCCCTTTCCTATGTTTCAGTAAAAGTGTGGGGACTTACTGGAACCTCCCCGTGGACTTCTTGAGGGAACGTCGAAAAACACTTTCCGCTATTAAGTTTCACTTGCCAACACTTGTGCATGTTCCCGAACACTTAGTGGTTAATAATCCACCATTATTAGACACTAACAACCGCCACACAACACAATTTTTAACAAGAAAAACAAAACAGCTAAAGTGACGCTTCCCGATCCCGCCAAAAAGTCTATATCACCTTTTCTCTCTCATTTATTCGGATTTCTGACAAATGTCAAATATTTAATACTGGCTGCTTCTACAGACATACCGACATTTTGCCGTGTAATGGAGTAATGCATATCAAACAAATGTCTAAAATGGCAGCTACCGAAAGCGGAAGTCAGATTTTGTAAAATAACAAAATCGCCCTACTGTAAGTGATGCGTGTTGTTTAGACTTTTTTGATGTTTTTAATTGACACATCCCAATACACAATCTTGATATGTAATACAGATGTTACATACATCCCGATATGTTTTTCTTTCATCTTCTTTTAATGCTTCTATATATCGCTTTAATTTCTCCAATAACCCTTCAAACTCTACACTGAGACTAGTCCAAACACACACTTGTTAATAAATCATCATTAACATAATCTTTATTTGCTAAAACCAATTGAGCACGTGTTTTCCATTTTAACAATAGCATAAAAATACATAGGGAAGAAATAAAAAAAAAATACTTATGACATTTTTTGACAGAATCACGAATGTCACACTTACCTAATATAATATCTACCTAAATGCGAAGAGATATCGCTGCCTTATAGTTTAAAAAAGGCTAGAGACAATTTGACACGGCCGTCTGGACCGCGGTAGTATAATGGTCAGTGCACTCGCCCGGATAGCGAAGGGTGCGGGTTCCAGTCCCGTCTGATGCCTACACCGCGTGGATTTTCTTCAAGTGAAATTTTCTTTAGATTGAAACATCTATCAGTTTCATGCTTAAAAATAACAAATATACCTAATATTATGTCAATAAAATATACAATGTCAACATATTAATATTAAAGGTGGTTAAATAAATTACTACAACATTATTTATCGAGCTCAAATTGCGCGGGTACGGCCACACGCAGTACATCTTGCGCCGCGCATTTTTCGTTCTTGCGTGACGCAAAAAGCGCTGCGTGTGGACGTACACTAATAGTGGAGATGGTAATTGTAAAAGTATGCCAGCTGACCATTAACCCACTATGTGTTAGGTACTTAAATTGATACAAGATACACCGAGAATGCAGCAGTCTGGGAAGATGCTTTAGCCAAACTATGCTGCAACTAAGTAAGTATATGCAGTAAGTTATCGTGAAGATTCTAACAAATGCAATGTAACACAAATGAAAATATTGAATGAATTTTTTTTTTTACTTTTTGATTTATTAAGAAAACTTTATTGTATCAAGTGCTAAGCAGTTAATTTGTATTCGAATGTGATTCATTGTGAAATAATACACAAATTACTAGCTTACCTACTTATTACGCCGCCACTGCACTTGGCTATATTATGTGTTTGCTATTTATAAACTCGAGATGAGTCTGTCCTTATCATGTTGTAGAAAAAATGAAAAGGACAGATAAAATAAATATATAAATAATAATAAATAAATAAATATTTCCAACACTCACACCAATTAGCCTAGCCCCAAAGTAAGCACTGTAAGGCTTGTGTTATGTGATACTAGGGTAACGGATAGAATTTTGGTCTAGAATGAAATAAATAAATACATATATTATACTTAAATAAGTACATTTATATATAAATACATATTAAACGTCCTTAACTGGAGTACAAAGCTTGTATTATGGGATACCAGGGTAACGGATAGAATACATATACTGTACATATATAAGTATATTTTTTTTTTATAGAAATACATATTAAACATCCATGACTGGAGTACAAATGCTCGTATTCATCACACAAACATCGGCCCCCACCGGGATTTGAACCCGGGACCTCTCGAGTCGGCGACACCATGAAACCCGGCGTACAAACCACTCGGCCACGGAGGTCGTCAGTAACCATTACTGTACTTTTACATAAAAATTCTGGTAGCAACAAAGACAAATCGAAAGTAAACTAACAACAATTACTTACTGTGTAAGTTTTTACAATGTCTCAAAGGCTACACCAGCGAGAGGCGAAGAGATTTCAAAATAAATTACACCGCAACAATGGTCGGACACGGCAATAGATGTAAATAAGGCGTCGTTTTGTCCGTTTGTGGCAGGTGTTGGCTTTTTACGATTGGTTAGCGCTTTACACGTCACGCAGTATGATCGTTTGGTTGAGGTGCAGCGTCAGTGCAAGCGGGGAGAATTTGTGGTGAAACACTGTTTTTATACGAAGTGGTAATCGTGATAGAAAAACAGCTGTATAGTAACCCTAGCACGAACCAATGTCGAATTCGAATAGTTAACGTGTCCGGAATGTCATTGTCAAATTTTGTATGGAACTTGAATAGCAGCGCCATAATGGACACCTCGAGAACTAAAAATCAGTACCCCTAGCCCAAACCATTATCGAATTCGAATAGTTTGCAAACCGAAATGTCACTGTCAAATGTTGTATGGAAACTTGAACAGCAGCGGCACAAAGTACGTAACGAGAACTAAAAATCAGTACACATTTGACAATGACATTTCGGACTCGCAAACGATACGAATTCGATATTGGTTCGTGCTAGGGGTACAATACACATTTGACAATGACATTTTGTGCTCGCAAACGTTACGAAGTCGATATTGGTTCCTGGTAAGAGTAAAGATAGCTGACGTGGAAGAAGGGTTTTGGACACTAGCATGAGTACAATTTTTCCGGGTGAACTGTAGTTGTTGTTTATAATTACTTTTTTTATGTAAAAAAAATATATTCGTCATCATCATCAGCCTATCAATGACCCCTACTGATGGGCCTTCCCTAAAAAAATAATTATTAATAGCACTACTAACCTGCTTAGTTTGGGACTAAGTAATTGGTAACTTTACATATTTTATTAATATTATTATTATAGTTATTATAAATAATCAATATTATAATTATTAAATGAGGAGCTCGATGTCGCAGGTGGTTAGCGCATTCGGCTGCGATGGTTGAAGTTAAGCAACTTTCGCAGTGGTTGGTCATTGCATGGGTGACCAAAAACATCTATCTCGAGTTCCTCCGTGCTTCGGAAGGCACGTTAAGCCGTTGGTCCCGGCTGCATCTGCAGTCGTTAGCACCCGCCAATCCGCACTGGGCCCGCGTGGTGGGTCATGGCCCAATCTCCCTTTTCCATCCATAGGAAAGGCCTGTTCCCCAGCAGTGGGGACATTAATAGGCTGATGATGATGATGAATTATTAAATCCT